TCAGATGCTGATTGGGCAGGTTCTAAGGAAGATAGAAGATCAACCTCAGGATATTGTGTATTTGTCGGAGGTAATTTAGTTTCTTGGAAAAGTAAGAAACAAAATGTGGTGTCGCGTTCGAGTGCTGAATCAGAATATAGAGCTATGTCACAGTCGGTGTGTGAATTAGTATGGATACATCAGCTTCTGACTGAATTGGGATTTGGCATCACCACTCCAATAAAACTTTGGTGTGATAATCAAGCAGCTCTTCATATTGCATCTAATCCAGTATTTCATGAACGAACCAAACACATTGAAGTTGATTGTCATTATGTACGTGAGAAAATACAGCAAGGATTGGTGGCTACAGGGTATGTGAAGACTGGAGATCAGCTAGGAGATATCTTTACTAAAGCATTGAATGGAGCACGAATAGATTATTTGTCTAACAAGTTGGGCATGATTAATATATATGCACCAACTTGAGGGGGAGTGTTAAAGTATATATTAGTATATTCTTGTATTAATATTAATTTGTCTTTTACCTTCTCCTTATAGGATTAGGTCAAGCTTGTATATTTGTCTATATATATAGACTTTAATAATGAGAATACAAAACATTGGATTCTCTCCAACCTTAGTCTCTACATAGGGGAAGGTCCAATTTCCAAGTACTCGAATGCCATTAGGGTCGTTGCTAGAAATATAAGGACATATTAGTAATTACTAAGGAATTTGCTAGTATGAGTTGAACATAAATAAAGCGAGTGGGAGGTGATGAAGGTAGGCAATAGTTTGATTGTTTAGACTTGAGTATACTCAAGAGGGAGGACTTCATGTTCCATGAATTACTTTGATATTCTACTGTATTTTCTTCAAAACAATACTACTATTTCAATTTGCTACTCCAGATCACATAGCAGCTGTCTAATTTACAGAACAAAAGTGTTGATCATGAGGGTAGTGCAGTTACACTATTTTCATTAGGGTAGTGCAGTTACACTATTTTCGTTTACTTCAGGTAATTCCTGTCAAGATTCATTCGACTTCGTTGTTTCCAATGACGTAAGGAATATTTTCAGAGCTGGAAGAAGGATGGAGCAACACATTTTAGTGCATATATCGCCCAATGGGGAGATTAGACTTTGACTAGGCTCCCAATTTCAGGTTGTGTATGCTAATCCCTCCATCACCAGCTCGATTGGGAATGCAATTGAATTCTTCCTCAATGGGTTCTACTTGGCAAATACTTCAAAGTGCAAACTTCAAAGTGCAAACTTCAAACTGTGCTGCTGGCTTGTTTCGACTATTATGAAGTTACTCAACTAGGAAGAGTGGTTTCAAAGTTCTATGAAGTTTCCAAATTTGTCTCCATGCCTTAGGAAATAGTTTTGCCAATCAAACAGCATCATCTGGTCCATGGCTTATGGACCAGCATATATTTCTGGAGGATAATTATATGACTTAGATGGAGGATTAATGTGTGATATGAAATGATTAAGAAGTCAGTATTAGGGGTTTGGTTGGTTAATAGCAATATTCGGTTAGAAGTTTGTTACCTAAGTTGCAGGAGGGAGAGTAAATATTAAATAAACGGTTTCAGAGAAATTGGAGGTTAGGAAAATATTTCAGATTATATTGTGGCAGAGAATGCATGCCCCGTGAAAGGATAACAACCTTAGAATTTTACTTTTCCGTAGTTTTAGACAACAGTTCCTATAAAAAGCAAATGGAAATTTTGACTTGATGAACAGAACATCAGACAAAAAGCAGGAAGATGGACGATCAACATGCATGAATTACTATATGGACAAGTTGAAAAGTATCCAAACTTGTCCACTACATGAAGTTACAACACTCTAATTAAGATGTCCACAGACAAAAGCCACAAACTGTTCATAGACATCAAGGAAATAATAAGCTGGAAACTAAAGGTTATGGAATTGGATGGAAGCATATGGAACATAGATCTAATACCTTGAAAGCAGGTGCACAAGAGATACTCGTCCTAGTTATCAAAATCGAACCTCTCGAACCCATTTTGACGATAACCCACTTTGTACGCACACCTTTCTTTAGCAACTCATTCCCTGCTAATACTGGATCTTTTATGCCCGTCAGGGACTCAGCCTGTGAAATGAATTAAAAATAGATTCAATAGTAGATAAAACAGCTGCAGGTTTAGCATAAAAGACAATTTGTACCAAAATTAAGCAATAGTTTTGGCTCATCCTAGAAGAATATTTCTGTACCTAAAATTTAAATGTACAGAATTTTTTTTTTTTCATTTAAAACTGCGCCATAATGGAAGAAAATTAAATAATACAACAAGGCATACTAAAAAAAGAGCCCAACAAAATGAGCCAAACAAAACAAAGCTAACTAATACAAAATAAGGCTCTAATCCAAGATAATAAGACCTATCAGGTAATTACAAAAATATTGGAGACTGATGCCCAGAGAGAAGCATTAAACTTGACAAAAAACTGTGAGAGTCTCTATCAGTACTCTCACAGAAACCAAACCTCTTCCTTTATATCTCAATCCCTTTAAAAGCCCTATTACTTTTCTCAATCCAAAGGCCCGCAAAACAGGAAAAAGGCCGACGTGCCACAAGATTCAACCCTTATCCCAAAGGGTTAGTATAGAAGGGTCTCCTTCACCATAGAACAACACTCAGTTTTGAGCAAGACAAGCACCAAACTGACTCAAAAAAATCCCAGACCAAGTAGGTGAACTAACAACTCCAAAGGATGTGACCAAGCCTTCAGTCGCATCCCTACAAAAACAAACCATTGTGACCCTATTAAAAAACAAAACATGGACCAAAATGTCAACCCTCCCATGTAAGATTGAGCAAAAAATTTGACCTTAGGCAATATTGACCCTCAACACCGATGAAAAAGAGGAGTGCTTGGTGGGACTGGAAGGATAGAGATCACAAAAAAGAAGGAAAAAGGATCTGCACGAAAACCTCTTAGAAGGAATGGAAGCCCACTAAAAGATATCATTTCTCCCCAATCTAACAGAAATATCCCCTCACAGATTCAAAACAGTCACAACATTTGTCGTCTCCCTATTAAACAAAGAATGAAGGAAGCCAAGGGAAAATGAGAAATAGCTACCCAAAGAAGCTAAGATAGAAGCCATATAATGGAATTTCACAGAGCACAAATGGTATAGGCGAGGGAACATAGAACAAAGAAGGTCATCACCCAGACAACTATCCTTTCAGAAGTAAGTATTTGAACCATCCCCACAAAACAAAGAAAAACCAGAACAAATAGTTCTCCAAGCATTTCTGAATGTGTCTTTTGACTCGGCCCAAAGCCCACTTAAAAAGATGACCATACTTACTCACAATAACTCAATGCCACAGATTGTCAGTCTTCAAGAAAAAGCATCACAACCACTTAGCCAACAAGGTCTCGTTATGTAATTTAAAGTTACCAATGCCCGAACCCCCAACGTCCAAAAGCCTAGACACCCACCTCCTACTTGACTAAATGGGATCCCCCACCCTCATCAACCCATTTCCACAAGGAGTCCCTCATAATCTTTTTCAAATTCTTGCTAACAAAAACAGGGAATCCAAACAAGAAAAGGAAATACACCAAAATTCCACTAATCAAGATCCTAGAACGTTCATTAAGTTTTGTTAGTTTTATCGTAGCCTGTAGGTTAAAGGTTAATATATTAATGATATCCTCCTAGTACGTTCATTAAGTTTTGTTAGTTTTATTGTAGGTTAAAGATTAACGATGTATTAACAAAGTTAGCGTATATATTAGTATATTTTTATACCTTAGTGTTTACAAACAATATCCTAGAAATAGGAATCATCCTATCGTCAGCAAAACCTTAATTGTACCTATATGGCTTGTATTGATCTTCTATTGTCATTCATGGTCTTTCAGTTGGGGCTTTGGTTGTTTTTGTAATTGTTTTGTTTTTCAGTTGGGGTAATTTATTAGTTGCAAAAATTGAATTTTTTTTTTTTTTTATATCCATAATTTTAGGCTACCTTACCACACCTTAACTATTCTCACAGGACAACTGTCTAACCTTATAATATTTGGTTGCCAAGAAAACTTGTAGGATATTAAATTCCTAGGCTAGCAACCATCGTAGATTAAACTCATTCCTTCTAAACCCTTTACTATTTTTATTGACCCTTATTGAATCCCTGTCGTAATTATCATTGTAATCTTTCATTCTATCAATGAAATATTTACCATTTTATTAAAAATTAATAAAAGAATAAAAAGCCTTGACTAAAGGAAGCTGTTAACATTTTCAAACACTAGTACATTTGACACAACAGGCTCACCACAAGGATAAAAAATGAATTTTCTCTAAGATTAAAAATTAGAATGACATAAATTGCTTACCATACACACTACATGCTTACAAGTTACAACTGAATGAAGGAAAAGTCTCACATGATAATTAAATAAATTAAGAAGTTTACCTCATCAGAGGTTAGAAGTATAGCATCACTCATCCTCAAGATATGGCCTAAAGCACTTCTTTCATCAGGAGTACCAACAGATAAACTCTTTCCACGTGGTCCAGGATCAAAAAAGATTGATGTTCCAACCTCCAATGCATAGTTTACAATTGAAACAATTAAATTAGGGGAAAGCTCATCAAAGCCATAACCATTGCAAAACAGGACCTTTGACCGTCTAACAGTCATTTTAACTTCTCCAGATAGTTCATTAATCCAGCTGAAAGCAGGCTCCTTACTGAAATCAGCTCGACTGAAAGAAGAGAAAAGCTCCACTTACTAAGAAAACAAAAACTTATAACGAACACTAAAAAAATGAATGATATTTTTCCTCCTTTTTGCAAGGGGAAGAGGGGATGGGGTGGTCATGCAAATGATCTGTGAAATTAGTTACAGTGTGCGTCAGCYGGTAAAACAAGCATAATTATCCCAAAAGAATACCACCAAAATGAGGTAATGTATAATAGCAAAATGGGGAACCATATGAAGAAAGATATATTTTTCTATCAATAAACAAAGATAAATTCCCATAAAGTGTGATTCTTTAATTTTTCTGGCTTGTACCTGCAAAAACCATGTCTTTGTAAAGGATCCACCAGAACCCAACACAGAAGAGTCTCGTAAGAGGCCTTCGAACTAACTCCATAACTAGCATCACTCATTCCAACAGTAGAAATTCCTTCATCGTGAAGTACATCAAGAAGAAATTGGCCATAGATTTCATTTCCCACATGACCAATTGTAGCACAACGAAGTCCCAATCTGGCAGCCGCTATTGCCATATTGCAGTTGCCACCAGCTTCCCAGTAACGCTGGCATACACAACCACATATTCATGTTAGATAAGTAAAGTTGATAAAAAAGTAACAGAGGTTATAATAATTTAATTAATTCAGAACACAACGATTAAAGCCAAAAGACTTGTCTGCTAGGCAAAGAAAAACATAAAATCTGGGCATGTGAAAAACTAAAAGTATGTAATGTAAGCCTCATCTGGCAAAGACAGCTCACATATCCCTAAGAAACCTTTATTACTCTTTTTCACTTAAATTGGCTTTATAATATATTATTGCTTGTCCTGTCCGTGATTTGAAAAGTGCAATCACGGTAAACTGCATCAATCTATGAAGTATTTTGCTTTGACCCAAAAAACTTTCCAATTGACCCTACATTTTGCCTTGCTGTCTCATCTCGTTACTAATTTGAAAGCAAGATTGCCTCATTAAATCATTATTTATGAATCTCATTGAGGTACCCAAATATCATCATCAAGTTTACTTCGTCATTCTACTTTTTCTGTTTCTATAGATAACGGTATCCTGTAGGTTAAAAATGCTCAACTCGATAATTTATGATGTCCAGAGTTTTTGAAAATCCACCTACCTAAAGAGCCGACCCATTATAGAAGATTATGTCAACATCGTCGGATAGAAAATGCACAATATTAATGGAGATCTGATTCACTTTACACCTATTCATGAAACATAGTGATAGAACACATTTATATTATTGATAATCAGAGGG